AGAGGCCTATTTCACAGTATAGCAGCAGTGCATAATCCAGCTGGCCACTCTTGGTCACACTCATAATCAGCTTTGAACAGGAACTGCTCAAGAATGAAGAATCAACAAAATCTTTACCACTTCCACTAATTTAGTTCATCTGTGGGCCTCACTGGGATCTCTCAACTCCTTCTTGCCATCTGTCAATCTCCTCCCTTGATAAAGAGGCTACATATTCCAGCACTGTCCCAAACAGGGAAAAAAATGAGGCAATCAGAAACATGCTTTAAATTGCTTCAGTGTTTGAGATACTTTACTGTGATCATTTAAAATCAAAGCATGATATGCATTATCCTATACTCAGCTTCCTCCCACTTGCTTCCAATCCCATATGCTTCTGTTAATTTGATTTGTTAAAGATAATAGGAGAAGCTAGGCCAACCACAAATAATTGTACTAAGCCAGGGTGTTCAATTAATGCAACTGCTGTCAGTGTGCTTCAGCTCTAGCTCAGTAAACATCAGCCTAGGAAACAAAACCACGACTGTATCTGGAATGACCCATGTTCAGTGACACATCTGCATACTGAAACATTGCTTTCTGACATAACCTAACTCAACTGCATCTACAACATCAGTTACCACCAAGTTAGACAGGACACAGGAGCTTCCCTGCAAAGAGAAGTTAATGAGGAGGAGAAATAGCCCTAGGTACAGCCCAGAAGTCCAGCTGTACTACATCTCTTTCAGCTATGTGGAGTTACTCTACAAGTTGGTCAGTTGAGATGGAAGGATGGCTGGGTATAATAAAATAATGTCATATTCAAGGGATGTTGCAGATGAATCATTTATTGCCTAACAGCAAACGAATAGTGTGGGCAATTTTCTACTAGTACGTTAATTCTAAATTACGTGCTTGCTCAGCCGTATGGGCTCCCTGTACTCACAGAGCAGCCATATGGGCACTGTATTCCCAGCTGCACTTGCCAGAATGTTCCGTTTGTGTTGTGTCAGGTTACGCAGCTCCCATCACTGGGTAAAAGCAACGCCTCGTGCAAACGGTGGCATCCGTATTTGGAGGAGCAGAGCTCACGTATTTATGTTTGCACTGCTCACAATTTGAAATTTCATTGAAAAAATAAACCCTACCTCAGAGAAAAGGTTAGCACTGCTACTGCTGATATTTTTATGGACTTTACATAAGTGCACAGATACTTCTGCTCTGAATGAAAAAATTAAACATTTTTATGTGCAGAAATATACAGTTTATCAAAAGAATACATGTTTGGATAAGAAAAATTTATTCAACGTTCTTTGCCAGAAGTAAAATCTTCTGCCTCTCCCAAAAATTCAAAACCAGAAATGCTTATGTGAATGCAGGGTCTGTAGTCATTAGTCACCTCAGCAGTTCCCCCTGCAGTAAGTCACTGCAGCTACTCACAAAGCCTGCAGGACTAGACTCACCATGTCAGATTGAAAATAATACCACCAGAGAAGTTTATCAACCATATATTGTTTTAGGAGCTGGGCTAAGGGGAGTGATTCATTCCTCTAATAAGAGCAGTATTGCAATATGTCCTGTCTCTGCCAGAGATTTGGTTCTATTAGATTAAGAACACAAAAAGAGAAGGATTCATGAGAGCGAGAAACCGCAGATAAAACAGACATGACTTGGAATTACTAAGGGAGCTCTGAGAACGTTCTAGATAGATGGGCTGTCTTGAAATAAAAAGATCACTCCTCAAGTACAAAGGGAGAGTATAAGTGAGTACTTTCTATCTGACATCACCAATAGCCCATTAAATTCCTATTAAGCTAAACAGGACCAAATATTAGTGCTCACACTGAGTGGTACCACAGGAAGAGTCAATGTGCTCAGACACAAGCTGACTTCTATAGCTAAACTTTTAAAAATCTACCAAAAAACTCTGCTCAACTGTCTTACTTTCTTTCCCTTCCCATTAGCAAAGTTGTTAACCTGCTGTCCCAGCTTCATAAGATCTAACAGCACACACACACAGCCTCTCTTCTTTTCCTCTGAATTTGCTGGGAAGTTTGTCACCAAACTCCAGTTCCAGGATTATTTGATATCAAACTGAAAACCACAACCGAGCAGCAGATGGAAGAACTCACGTCCCAGGTTCACCTTCTCATCAGGATGGCAACAAAGTGGATTCTTCCCTTAATTCTGTAGCGGGAGGTTGGAACTAGATGATCCTAAAGGACCCTTTCAACCAAAACCATTCTGCGATTTTCTGTGATTCTTTTATCATTCCAAATAAGCTAGAAGTACCAGTACATTATCTGCCAGTACTTTCTGTTCATTTCCAAAGGTGTCTGTTTCCTGCAATTGTGATTTAAACTAAACTGCAATATTGGCATCTTTCAAAGACAGAATTTGCAAAAAATCTGATCAAACAAGGCTGCTAAAAGCCAGCAGGATTACACACACTGCTTGAGCACGTTACCAACACAGATAGTAAAAAAGCTGTACAAATGAGAAACATGACTGGAATTTTGTAAACACTGAGAAAGTTTAGTTGTGGCACAATGGTCATAGGATCTGCTCCTCAGCCGCATCCCATTCCCCCACATTTAACACTACAGGATCACTTTTCAGCAAATTCAGTCTTTCCTTTTGGCACGTAATGTTTTGTAAAAGCTCAGCACATTTCTTGGCTGTCTTAATTGCTCATAACGATTCTCAGCCAACAGTCAAGTGCTTCTGAAAAACTATTTAAAAAAAAGAAAGAAAAAAAAACAAAGCTACTACATGCTAATTCTCCAGTCTGGCTTAACATTTCTAGTCAGTTTTCCCAATGTTGGGTGTTAGCCAATGAGAATATACGCTGGCTTGAAGCCATCATCTTAAGTGTATTGCAACTGCAAGATACCACATAGCACATCCCAAAGGGAAAGAGCTGGGAAAACATGGATGTTTTCTGAAATCTATGTAGAATGTACTTGCACTTCTAAAAGCATGCATTTATTTCACAGAACATTCAATAGAGCAAAAATTCATTAGTTTTAGTTTCTGTAGGAAACAAATTATTTCTCCGTTCAACAGGCAGATATAAAAACATAAACATGCCAGATTTCAAAGCTACTCTTGGTATATATAGCTTGCATCTCCAGTAATTTGTTGCATCCACAAAATTCTGTTTTACTCATACACAGCTAATGGGAGGGGGAAACTTTCCAAAGAAAGTCAAAGACACAAAGAAGGAGTACACTGCCACAGCGGTTTACTTCTCAGATGACCTCTGGCCAACAAGATTTCTGAAACTTCTGCAAAGACCAAAGGCACTTTGAACACCCATGTTGCTTCTTATGTTGTTCACAGGCTTACATACTCATAGCGTTTGTGCGTGTTTGTTTTTTTTAAGTTACAGTGTATGTTTGCCTAAATTTTAACTGATCTGAAACTTCTTTCATCCATTTAATTGGATGAGTCTTCTGCATCATCTCTCTCTCCATACTGTGTGTCCCATGTCAGGGAATGAATAAAATGGGAGCCATAGAAATGGCTTTTTTCTGTTTGTAAACTGGAATGTCAAGTGACTAAATACTCACTTGTTCACATCATTTACTAAGGCACACATTTCTTTCAGGCTTTCATTATTTTATATGTTACCATTAATTGTCACAGTTAGCAGACTGATTTCATCGATCACCTGAATATTTAACACTGTGTCATGACCACCACCTGGCCACTTCCAAATATTGGTCACCTCCTAACTTCAGGAGGGTCAGACTCAATGGTCAGGACTGAAAAACCCTCTAGTCAGGTGCTCCAGATGGATGATTCTCTTCAGATTCGTTGTGAAGATCACTATATTTCTTACCTTCATTTTGCAGTCTCACTAAAATCTATCTTTAGGAGACACAAGAACAGCTTAGATGGAAAAAAAGTAAATATAGTCTTGTAAAGATACTGAAACAATCAACAGAGACAGATGGCTTCCAACATTTGGGCTGAACGCTTGCATCCCTACACAGCACTGCTGTAATACTGGTTGGGACCAGAAATCTTGCAAGTTTTGAGGGTTTTTTTTGTTTTGGTGGGGTTTTTTTAACTGTAAGGTAGAAACAAACAATATCATTGTCACATACATTCTCCAAGTGGGACAGACTGTTAATCCTTTGCATAATTTCTTCTCTTCCCCAGTACAAGCTTTGTTTCCAAAGCTCTGCTGCCTTAGGCAAACAGACAGATTTCCAGCTGTGAAAACTCATTTTTATCTCTTTAAAGAACACATGTTAGTGTAAATTTATCAAATATGTAGGCTAAACACAGTTACTCTTTACTTAGATAGTGTTAAAACATACACAATCTAGAAGAGATTGATAAACAACATACTTATGTCTCTTTCTGCCTCAGTATCTTCACCCCTTTTTTCACAAAGAAATGCCCAAAGAGAAGACTTGGAGTTAACAGAATCCAGCAAGACTCCTTTTTCTCTGACCCATAACTCTGTTCACTCCTCTGCCCCACATCAGTGCCTTGGGATGCAGACTCATCCTGCAAGCTAAAGGATGCCCTGTTCTGCAAAAGTATGCTCCCCTGCTTCACTCCTACCCAAAACTTCCTCTGAAAAACCCTGGAGCCTTTTCATACCTGGTAACAATGCCCGAATCCTTTGTTCTGCTTGAGAATGACATTTTTGAGTTTCAGCATTCTTCCCTGTGTGGTTCAGCTCAGTTCTTTCAGCTTCAATCACTTCATGATATAAAGGGTCTTTCCAGAAATAAGTGACCATTGTGCAAGGTACATCATAGATTCCAGCAGGATATTTCCCAAGCAGGGAAATGATTGCTCAGTGAATCCCCCAGAGTCAGTTAATTAACAGCTCCAGAAATTGGTCTGTTAAATAGTCTATCCCTTAAAGCATGATTTTATACAATGGATCAGTCGCAGGCTGTCTCAGGACTTGGAAAAATCTTCAGCTTTAGCATCTATCTGACCACACTTTGTGCATCCCTGTTCCTCACTGGCACATTCTCCCTGTCTCTGCCGTGCAGAAATTCACCTGAACCAAAGCAGCCCGACCAGCGAGCTCCCCAGCTACAGTGAGAATGGCAGTGATGCCAGTTTACTTGTTTCTCCCCTTCTGGTGGCTGGAGTAGTGATCGGACTTGTGCTGTTTCTGTCCTGTGTCACCATCATTGTTGGCAGCCTGCGGAAGGACGGACGGCTGAGACACCCACACCAGAGGAGAGACACTGTCTACGGTAAGAAGCTAGGTAAAGTGAAACAGTTCTTGGCACTATTAATATCTGCTGCTAAGGGCAACAAAGAGTTTGGATGCTGTGCAAAGGATATAAAAACAAAATGAGTAAAAAATTATGAGGCGTTGATAAGAGGCAGCTTTGCAGTTCAGTAGCATCTTCACGAAGCTGGGGGCTGACACAAACAAGGCCTACAGCATCTCTTCAACGGCGCGTTTTCCCTGACAAATGCACGAGTCACCAGACTACTGATAATTTATTTTCATATCCCCTTGCAGCCCTTGTGTACAGTACATGTTGTGATTTCTTCTTGTTGGACAGCCAGGACTCTTTGACTTCTCCACTGTGCCCTAAGCTACAACACTGACTTGGCAATTAACTCTTTTCTTAGCACAGAAGTTAAAACTGGATGTAAAGAAAATAGGTCATCAAAATGCCATTACAGAAACATCATTAAAGACACTGGTTTACTATCCTTTTTTTTTTGCCCCCTGTTCTTTAAAAGGACTTGAAAGTACGAAGGTGTAGTTTTAAAATCACATTTTTGGCCAATTTGGCACTTGCTGATCAAAAGTCAAAAGCCACTTGGTCAAGAAAATTACACAGTTTGATTCTTCATGTATTTAAGAGAAAAACAATTACAAAAAGTTATTTTTTAAGTATCCAGCTAGTAAAAAAATAAAACAGTAAATAGATTCTGAAGTGCTGTATAAACTTCACTTCCTTTGAAGTCCCTGAAGTCAGGCCAAGGCATAAAGGACAATTTTCAAACTGTTTCTTACAGATAACAATACTAAAAAAATGGGGGAAAGAAGCATCAAGCATGGTGACGTTTTCAGAGAAATTCAAAAGAACCATCTTAAACTGAATTGTGTCAGTCTGCCTAAAGTGAAAATTAGACATTAGCAGAAGCCTTCTTGCTATCTCAGCATGTGTCCCCCAGACAGAAAGAGATCAGCAGGAGTCACAGTGAAACTGGCTGCCTTCAGTGCTGAGCAGAAGGAAAGCACAGCACCTGATAGACTCCATTAGTGCTGGTGGAATTCCTCACAGATTGCAGAGATTGGCAGAGGTGAGCGTTACCAGCAGGATGGACACACAGCTTGAGAGCTGCACAAGTGAGTCCTGCCCTTTACTCTCTGTTCAGGGAAACGCGGCTTTGATGTCACCTTAAAAGCTGGCCCCTGCCTCCAGGAACCATTTTAAAGCACTGAGTGAAAAGGAAGGACCACTTCATATGGAAGAATAGGAAAGTCCAGGGAGTTGCTGCATTTCCACAATTCAGGACATTCTTAAGGAACTTTCAACCAGAATGTTGAGAGCTAGCTATCATCAAAGATACAAAATAGCATCAACTCCTGGGTATTTCTAGAGCTGTGAAACTTCTGTGAAAGCATTAGGGAACTCCTGGAACAGCTAGCAGGATATTTTTTTCTAGTATTTTCCCATTTTTCTTCTTTTTCTGTGAGCTTTTCTAAGCAGCACAGCTTATTCTGAACACACACACACACACACACACACTTACAATCACACCAAAGCCTGCTTTTGAAAACCTTTGCAGAACTGGCAAGGTTTTGATGCACGCATTTCCTGGGCACATCAGCAGTCCTGCTTGTGCTTTGAAGTTGTATGCAGCACGACTTACACATTTTCAGCCTTTGAGGCAGAAGAGCTTTAGCCACTTGCACTTTGTACAACAGCACTAAATATATAGTCCTTGTGCAAACACCGCAGCTCATTCACACTGATAGGGGCTGGCTTGCAAAACAACAGAAATGCACTGTCAGATCTGATTGCTCTAAGTAACAGCCATTCTGCCTCAGATAGGTTTTGTTTTCTGATGTATGGCAGCATTATAAACAGTAATATTGTCTCAGTGAGAAAGAAGAGCAAACAGTAACTGCTTGTTTTCCAGCTCCAGACAGCTTCTCTTACGGCGGCTCTTTTGGAGAGCTGAGATCCACCTGCCTGGAGGAATTTCCCCCAGCTTTTGATTTTGGTTCCTATCTGGATACACTTTCTCAGGTCAACATCATGTATCCCGATTCACCTCCACGGTAAGCACTTCTTGAAGATACTAAATGTTATAGTCCTGCACATGCAAAGCCTACTAAAGAGGAAAATTAAATTGCTAGACCAACATCCACTCCAAAAACACAGGTCAAAAGACTCTGCCTACAAACACTTTGTTTAGTTTAAGCTCTAGTTTTCCAATGTAGAATGTCTTTACTAAGTAAAAGCACCTGTACAGGCATTTATCATCTACTGATAATCATATTTGTATCAATAACTTTGATGGCATATGAATGAAATGCACTAGTCATCTATGAAAATCTTTTTTTGGAAGAAATTATTAAGTTTCACTTTTGGAGGGAATTTTTTTTCCAAGAAGAAATCCCTACCTTTGGTTTTCTACTGTACTGTTACTGGCTGAGGAAATGAGCTGTGCCTCAGTGGGTGCCCATCAGAGTCCTGCCCAACAGTGTTTTATTGTCATTAGATTAAAAGAGACTTCAGATTTATAATGCCTCGGAACCATAACAGACTTGAACAAATTAAACCATTTAGCCAAGTTTCCAATTAAAGCACATTTGTTACTGTAGTTGCAAGGAATTTTCCTCTCGCCAGCTTTATTTCACTATTTGCAAGGATTCTAAAGCCCTTCAATTTTTCTTCTCTTTCAAATACCACGAGTAACTCCCCACTCTTTAATGCTTGCAGAAATTATTATGAAATAAGCAAACAGTATAAAACTGACTTTATGGTTTTTACCACTGTTGTTCACGCATGTTAAAGGTATGACAGCATAAAACAAAGAGTCAGTCAGCTCACAGCAGATCCCACCCAGTGTGTTTGGAAAACATCTGGGTACGTCATTAGTAAGTCAGAAATCAAAAAAGTCATTACGGACATATATTCATTACAATACCAAAAATAAAATGTTCCAATATACCCAGAATTCAGATATTAACATATGTTGAGGCATCACAGATTACATTTACACAAATTAGTATGTAATACAATCTCCATCACCCCTCTTACCTGCCTGTCACTTACAACTGCAAAGCTAACAGATGTTATTTGACAATCTAAGTAGCCTGATATGCCACACAAAAATAACAGCTTTTAGTAAACTGTTTTTGCAGGTATTTAAATTCCCATGTTACACTTGCTACTGACCTTACAACTGTTCTGAACAAGCAGCAAAAAAGGAAGTGTAAGAAACCACTCTAAATCTTCCCATATTTTCAAGCAAGCTTCACTTTTCTATTGTCTTGCTATCATTATTCTATCAGAAAGCACAACTGAAGAAAACATACTGTTCTGGCACACCTAGTAACCACGCTTTACCTCTCAGTCTGGGATTGTTTATTCTGTATGAGTATCTGCAAAGAAGGACAGCTGCCAGTATGGCTATTTAGACTGAACCTGCACTGTGCAGCTGTAATGGCAGGACTTTGTAGTGTCTAGTCACCTGCAGTAACAGCACTGCCACAACTGACTCGTTTCAAAGAGAGGTACTTCAGAAATGATACAGCAGTTTCTTCCATAGCTGTATGACAGAGTTCATTAGAGGATACAAGAACTGCCCAGGAGTGACAAATTTGCTCTTCAGACCATTTGTATACTCTCTGTGTGCCTCATGCACCATGAGTTGATGCATGAAGGAATTCAGTTACTTCCTCCAAAGAACAGGAGAAAGAGCAGGCTCCAAGCTTTCTACAGAAAAGTGCCTTACAAGCAGCAAAGAATGGGTGATCAACATTTGTTTTCTTCTTTTAAACAGACTGTGTTTTAAGTTAAGCCATGCCCTTTTCTGACTGCCTGTATACATAAGCAGTAGGGAGAACAGTGAAGAAACCTCTTCCTGTTCTTGCTTTAAGATGGTACAAAAAGCAGTTATGTACTTTCCTAAGTGTTTCTGGATTTTCCAGACTGGTAAAAGCATGCAGCAAGGCATCAGGTGAGGAGTACATCAGACAGGCCTTAATAAGAGCTCTTGTGAAGCAGCTCCGCAGTGTGAACACACGATCACTGTTTTTTCTATTCTGGGCATGTTCTACAAGCAACCTTTTATGTATTATAAAGTCACACTAGATAATAAATGGGCTTTTAGAGATGGTGTAAATATTTTAGCAGAAGCCTCACATTATGAAAAGTTGTTCCGAGTCTGGCATCTAAACTTGTAGAACTTCATATAAACCCACTCACAAACTACACTGGGATTTGGACCCGCACCCACAAGCCTTTACTAATAAAAGTAAATGAGCTGACACCTAGGCAACAACTTGAGCAGGCACTTGGCCAGATTTCTCAGGATAAGCATTCAGTACATACCTCCTTAGCACACAGGTCTCAAAAAAACTATACTAGAAGTTACTTCCATTTCCAATCTGAAAGCTGCCCAAAACTGGATTTTCTGTCTTTGTGGAGTTTTCTGTTTGGAAACATATACGTGGATGCATGTACAGGATGGCACTACATGATCTCTGCTTTCGTGTGAGTTCTCCTCTGTAACAAGGCTGGCAGAAGCTGCCCTGTCTCTTTCCTTGCCCTACAAAACTGTTCTGTGCCTGAGGGACATACAGGTGCTCAGGGTGCTGCCTCCTCAAGATTCACCTGGAAGCCAAAGGAAAACCCAGGGGCCCACACTGATTACATACACAAGCAATCACTGCTCATCCCACTACTCTGCAGTTCTCCATAACGTATCAAAAGTAAGGATTTTTATTATCAGTGCTTTTTCTTACTGCTATGAAAGTTACACGTTTTAGAAAAAATGTACTTTTGGGGTAATTAATGACTCTCTAATGAATTTCAGAATTCTATAAGCATCTGTCAGGTTGATTTTACATGAGGATAGAAGAAAAACAAAATACAGTGGGTATGATCTATCCATTTCCAAAATATTAAGGGTCTCCAACAGCTTGAGGTGGTATTTTAATAAACAAATACATTTCAGCTGTTACTTTAAGAACTAAAGTGAATAACTGAGACAAAGTAACATGAAATGATTTGGTATTGTATGAAAATAATGTTAAACAAATCACTAATCATGCAGAATTTAGAATATAGTTGGTAAATGGACCTGTATACCAAATGGAAAACATTAAAATGAAAAATAAACCTAAGAAAATACGATGCCTCTTGAGATATGCTACTGTAGGAGCAGTTCAGCCAGCAAGGGTAACCTATGTTACACATAGTTTCTTTCTTAGGCAAAAACATCGCATAAATATCCTTTGTGGTGTTTCAGCATAGCTCAAACCTATCAGTGCATGTATTTTCCAGGAAAGGATTAGTGGTTACCATCATTAAAAGGCAGCAGGTCATCAGTAAAACTGAAACAATGCAGCAGTTCTAGTGGAGTTGCAACGTGTAACAGATGAAGTAAGCAAAAAGACATCTATCTCACACAGAAGGATGTTTCATTCCCCAGATTTGCCTTTTATTCATTTGCTCCTGTCCGTGACTTAAAAAACTCTCTAAGTAGAACCTTCTTCTTTCCCCAGAGAGTAGGTCATAATTTATGAATGACAGCGAGTTAAATAAGATCCTTAGTGTTTCCTTAGCAACAAAGCTATTCTAATGCTTATTGGAAGGAGACCAAACAAATTCATGAAGTTATTTTCAGTCCCCCCAAACAATTCAACAAAGTCAGTTTGAAGACCTGTGGTATTTGGATAACATTCTTTTCTTTGCAGGTCACATTTACATTCAGCATGATGGAGTTAATAGGCATCACAGTCCTCCTTCCCTTTCCTGACATCGTTACCACTTCAAAACTCTATAGTGTAATCTGTGATGACAGTGAAGTCATTTTGACAAGAAACAAGGCAAAGAAGTGTAGACAGCAGCACATCCCAGTGTCAGTAACCTTCTCATATCTGCCTGTAAGCCACCCTGAACGTTAAGGTACTGCAACTGGGTAAAACAAATGGCTTGAAGTGAATTCACCACAAGTACTAGATGTAACCAAGGAGGGCTTTCTAAGAGTTAATAAAGAGACAAATGATATTCAAGAGAAGCAGTGTAACACGTTCCTGTGGTCCATTACTAAGTTAGGGTAACAAAGTACTTTCTGAAAGCACTTGCTTTTTTTGTCTGAAGGGATTTTCTTTGAGATTGCTCTACAAACATCAAACACCAGGTTTGTTTTTATGTAAACAACATCTCAGAACTGAATCTCTCAGATAAAATGACTATCGGTGTATTTTGTGCAAGACGCTAGCAAGCATTTTTGGTTTCACACCGAAATCATGCAACAGAAAATGCAAGAGCAAAGAGCTTGCATGATTTCAGTGTGAAACAAGAAAGAAAAAGAGTGGGAGCACGAAGCAGGGCAGAGAACACTTCCCTTTAGCATTACGGATGCTGAAGCCACAGCTTTATGCAAGTCCAAGCTTCACAGCTGTCAACATCTCAGCTGAAATCAACAAAACCAGATACTATAGTTAAGTGACTTGCACATAACAGTATAAATTTAACATGAGGAATGATCATTACTGATTGCTGCAGATGCAGTGGTTCTTTACAGTGGCAGCCCTCATTACACAGCACGTGTTCCTCTTCCCCCCCCCCCCCAGTACTGGAGTCCATACTAGCTAATAAAAGGCAGCTCATTTATTTTGTCCCAGACTGCTCTGTTTGCAAGCAAAAATAAAGAAAGCTCAAAGCTATGTCAAAAGCTGAGTACACTGCAGAGCAACTCAGCAGCACCTCTTAGTTCTTGATGCACACCTTGCTGCAGAAAAAGGCAGGATCTATTCACTTCTTCTCCAGAGTGAAACTTTGCAACTACAGGTGCAACGCTTTGAAGAGAATATGGAAAACTAAGTATCCAGACCATAAACTGCTAATGCAATATAAGAGTTTATCTTAAAAACAAGCTATCTTAATGATTTGTAGTTGCCTCCTTGGCCATAAAGTACTTCCATGAACAAGCTAAAAAGTTCTTCAACTGAAAAGAGATTATTTTTATCCATCCTATGCAGGAAGAAAACATTACTATATACAATCATAGAATGTTTTGAGTTGGAAGAGTCCAACTCCCCTGCAGAGAGCAGGGACACCCACAGCTCCATCAGGTGCTCAGAGCCCGGTTCAGTCTGACCTTGAATGTCTCCAAGGATGAGATTTCATCACCTTTCTGGGCAACCTGTGCCTGTGCCTCACCACCCTTATTATTAAAAACTTTTTCCTTATATCCAATCTAAATCTCCTCTCTTTCAGTTGGAAAGAATTTCCCCTTATCCTATCACAACAGACCCTGGAGCCTGCTCAAGAGTTTGTCCCCTTCCTTCTCAGAGCTCCCTTTAGCTGCTTGTCAGGTTTCCCCAGAGCCTTCTCTTGTCCATGCTGAACAGCCTGTTCCAGTTCTATCAGCCTGTTCTCATAGGAGAGGCATTCCACCCCTTGGATCATTTTTGTGTATATATTGATATTTGGAACAAAACACCAAAATGACAGGTTTTAAATACCATAATTTGCCACCCATGTGTCTTGGTGCATAAAGGTCTCCTTCACAAATGCCACTTCAATATTTGTCTCACCAAGCATTTTAGTTTTATAGAGCTAAGCTACAGACCATAAAAGATATCAAACTAAATCCAAGGGAAAGAAATGTGAATGATCAGGTAACAGCAGTGAGCAGAAGGCTCACACTGTGCCCATTCTCCTTCAGGTCAGTGGCAGATTCTGGGCGCCGGGCCCAGGCCCAGAATCAGTAGACAGACAGGCTTCCTCCTTTTTGCAGCTCAGCAAAGGGATTCACAGTTTTCCACCTCAAAACTCACATCACTGCGGGCTTTCCAAAACCAGAACTCTTTTCTCTCTTCTGCTATGGTAACAGGACCCAGCAGGTGCTATTCACTAGCCTGATTAAATCTGTCAAAACCAGTGCAGAGATTTCAAATACATTCGCTAGGCTTTAGGTCAGCAAAATGTAAATTAAGTAAAGATGCAGTTCAGAGGGAGTAACCCTGCAAGGAGAGATTCTTCCTTTATTCTCAGTCTGTGATTGAAGTCTAAAATCTTGTAAAAGAGCAGCAGGTTCACTTCGAATTGCAGTGGGCTTAGTAGAGACTGGACTTCAATCTCTTCCACGTGCTGTATAAAAACAACTCAACCTCACATCTGCTGAGGTTTGTTCCTGAAGCACCTAGCTGCCTTACTTAGGACCTTCAGAGCATATAGCCATGGTTTTAAATTCTTTCTGATGGAGAAATCAGGATATTCCAATCTAAATTTAAGACCACTGACCTGATGAATAAAAAGTAATATGAAGAAGGATAAAAATAAAACCACCTCTGGATATTTAAATTGTTTGTTGTATGAACACCTCTATGGTATTTGAGTTGTTTGTTAACCTTGTGCTAAGATACTATTTCCTTACTGGAAAATTTCTCTCCCCCCAAAACCACTTTTATCACCCACCCACAGAACAGTAGCATCAAAGCCAACAGCAGCAGAAAGGAAAGGAAACAGCTGAAGGAAAGGTTTGAGTGCAGCAGGAGCCAGTACTCTTCTAAGGCAGGGCCTCAGTGGCTGATTTCAAGAGGTTTGAGCTCTCTGTAACTGATATGGGCTGCCCTGCTGCAAGTCACTTATAATCTACAAGCAGGGTTTATTAGCTTGGGTCTAGCCTGGCAGCAACGCAATTACAGGGGCAGAGTGACTGCCTGCAGTCTACAGGGAGGACACGTGCTAAATATCCTATGTTTCAGGAAATATCTGAGATCCTAATAGCTAGCTCTGCAGTTACTGCAGTTGAGGAAATGGGTTCTTAATTTGTCTGGCTCCAGCAGAATTGTTTTTCAGGTCAGCTGACTGGGAGAAGAGTTGGGAGTTTTTGGTGGTAGAGGGGGTTTCTGTCTTTTTTCTTTCTTTCTTTCTTTTAAACAGGAACCATTCTTCCTTCCCTCAATCTAATTAAAAATGATCCTGAAACAATTAAACAAAGCAGTCATTAATAAAGCAAGTCCAGTGCTTAAGAACACAATGCTATGCCTCTTCCTCAAATTTGCCTGCATAGCCAGTGAGCTCAGAACCTTCTTTCAAACCACTACACCTGGGCTGGTTTGATAGCAGAAGTAGAGTCAGCTGTTTTCTGGGCAAATGGGTGATGCCAGGGCAGCCAGGTAGGAGACCACCAGATAAGGGGCCAGAAGCAGAGCCCAGCTCAGCACCAGGCTGCCAGCCCAGCAGGCCGATCTGCCTATTTGTCTTCACACCAGGGCTGCAAGGCCTGAGTGCAGGTGGAGCAAGGAGGCAGCAGTCTGCCTTGGCTCTAGCTTAATGGCACAAAGCCTGGACAGACCTGAGCTGGCTCTGTATGAAAATCCCACAGACCAGTCTTTCTTGCATTACTCCAGTTTAGAAGGAGCACAACGGGGACTCTGCTGAGTCTCAGAATGGCCAGCATGAGTCTGTCAAAATTATTCATCACAGCTCTGCACCTCCACAAGGAATCCTGCTGTCTTGCAAGTACAGATCTGCAGCCCAGACAGCCCCCCTGTGGGTTTCAGACTGAGCACAGACTGAAGGATGTCCTAAAGATCTGTGAGTCAGAAAGGAAGGCAGGATTTGGTACAGTACTCCATCTAAAGCTCTCCAAACCTTTTTTCCATAACTGTAAAAATGGCAACAATGCTTTTTCCCCACCCTTTCATAAGTTTGCCCATTAAAAAGAGCTGAGATGAGGGCTGAACCCTGCTGTGGGCCCAGCAGTGCAACATCAGGCATGGGTACAACCAAAACGCAGAGCCAGGCACAGTGATGCAGCCACAGCTGCGATTCATACAGGGTCTGAGCTTTCCCAAGACCTCAGGGATTATCCTCAGGTGCCTGGAGATGTGCTTTTAAGCGTTAAGTTCTCGAGTGCCTTACATGGCAGGGTAAGCAAGGATGTGGGCTGAGGAACCACTAGATGATCCCTTTCTTCTCACTTCACCTGCCCCTGTTATGCTGACAATAATGCACTGTGGCATTTTTCACAGGAATCTAATGAAAAATTTGTTTTTCTTTCAGCTATGATGAATGCGTGGGGCCAGGAGCAACGCAAATATATATTCCCACAGATGATCCCCCCCCCTATTCCCTTACGGACCCCTGGCAAAGAAATGAAATATCTATAAACATCAGCCGGGAGGAGGAGGAAGCAGCAGCAGGGACTGCAGAGCCTGCAGCACACCATGCCACCAGGATACAGGGCTGGCAGCAGCCCATCCCATCCATCTCTCTGTCGTCGCTCCCCACAGAGGCTGCTCCCCGGTACGCAGCTGTGATGTGTGAGCACAGCATCCCCATCCCGCTGGTGCCAGTGGAAGTACTGAAAAACTCTCCCTCTGACTATCAGACCATTCTGAGCCAAATCCTGTGAATAAAAGGGGCTTTCTCCTTCCATCTTTCTGAAGAACTCAGACTGAGAAGAAGAACACATTTAAATGGAAGAATAAAACCTCTTAAAGTTTTACCTATTTTATATCTTTACTAAGGGATGTAATGGGATTGTTTTTTATTTTTTACAGTGAATTTTGAAAGTTTACCTAAACTTCCCTCTTTGGGCTTCAAAGCATTCCATGGCGTCACGTAGCACAGGACAGCAGCACTGAGAGCGGTGCTATGGCCTTCCTGAAGCATCTCAGATCTCACTGACATTGCCACTCAATGTATATATATGTATATATGTTATCTAGTCAAGCTTACTCCTCGATTTGATGGTAATGTGCATGCTTTGGAACAGAAGGAAGGAGAAGAGCAGTTCTTGTCTTTGTAGGTGTCAGTAGTACACTTTATCCAGTGTCTTGGCAACAAAGCATTTTTTAAAAATTCTTTTTCTAAATATGTATTTCCACAGACAGAAACAGAACACAGCCTCCAAAACATGACTATCAGCACCCTACAGAAGCAAAATAAAAAAGAGGAATCTTTTGATACCCATGCTTTTCCCTCAGATACCCCAGCCAGTTCCAAAACCTGCTGTAAATCTCTCACAAAGTCAGGAACAAGCTGACCCAACACCAGCTGCTATGCCAAGGGCACTGCGCCCAGCTGTGAGGGCCCAGGGCTGCACACCCCTCACTTGGCACACCTGGAACCTTGAACTCCTTCCAGCATGCCTACACTGTCAGGAACTTCAGTTATGAACCTACAGGATTAAGAAAGGACCTCCAATAACTGAAGAGTGAAGTAAATAGTAGATGCTGGCTTTGGCATGCATAGTAATGGAGAAACTCACTGTGTACAGAAACTCCTCATATTAGACGTGACCCTCCTCGCTGACATTTTGCTATTCACATTAGCCCCAGGTCATAGGCTTGGACTCTCATGTGCTCATCTGATGAATGTGGGGAGGTGGGGATGAGTGCTCACGGAAGCAGCAGGAGGAAGCCACAGAAATGAGGTTCATGCTGCATGTTACATACAGTCTCCACTTAAGGACCTCAACCAAGTTTTCCTCAGCACAGTTATCAGAGGTGCATCTGCACTAAATCTCTTAGAGATGTTCTCACTGAAAAAATGGGTAATTTTTACACTGATAAAATGGACTTCAGGTTATAACCCCCCCCTAGAGATAAGTAGAAAGGAATGTAAGCAAACATATTACTGTATTTAACAGCAAATACCGTTCAAAATATTAAAATTACATTTCAATTTTCTGTAAATAGTAAATAACTTCCAACAGTAATCATTACTCAACACTCCAAAGATGGATGCAAATATAATTAATATATAAGTTGGGAAATAATCATTTGGTCCTTACTGCTCTGTAAATCATAGCATTACTGAGTCATAAGCACATGATGGAATCAGATAAGTATGCATTTTTTTCAAGCAGATAACAGTAAACATGTATTCTGCTAAAAAAAAAAAAAAAAAAAAAAAAAAAAAAAGAAGAAATCTTTTGCAGATCTATGAAGTTCTCAATGTATTATACCCAAAACAACAAAAACTCACAATTTTGCATTGCAAAATAAGCTGGTGGACACTGCAGAATTTCGACTACATTCAGTACTTGTATCTTTAATGGACAGAGCTATTCTGTATGAAGTACCAGTGGAGACAGTTCTGTGGCACACAAGGTATCCCGCAATAAGACACAGAACTGCACTACCAATAGGGCCAGAAGAAAAAGCCAACACAGAAGTTCAGCAGCCAGCTTTATTGGCAGGAAGATAAGAAGTGAAGGGAAGCACAGGAAGAACAGGACATGCAACTGGGACAGACCAGAACTGTGGGCTGATGCTGGGGGCTGGAGAGGGAATCTAGCAAGTATCAGAAGGTAAATGGGATTTCAGTTTTTGAATGTGTGTCTTTCCTACCTGTACAGCAAAGCTGGGAGCTCTGCTGAAGATAAGCCATTCACAAGTGTCTGCTCTGTTATACAGATGCATCCAGTTTCTGTGTACTGTGGGCAGTGCTTCTGTCTGGCTGTTAACCTGACATGGATTTCAGGCCCTGCCACTACCTTTATATCAGAGGAAAATAATAATTTGATTTGTACAGAATAAATTTATTTCAAGCAGACTTTTGAGGAAAACGGGAGATTTATATTTCGCCTCACAACAGAACTGCTGTACTGAAATTACAGTAGATCAAATCAGAGTTGTTCCCCATTTGAGGACAGGCACAGCAGCACTGAGAGCTGCCTGCTCCTGCACTGTGCGGCGGTCGCCTGTCACACAGCACAGAGCACACAGCGGGGCTCAGCCACCCAATGACCAACCAAAGCACTCCGTATTTCGGATCCCTGATAGATTCCAGCAAAATGGGCAGAGCACCTCGAGAGTACAAGTCAGCTCCCATTAAACTCAGAAGAAGTTCACAGCTGCTTATCAGACCTTAAACTCTGGTATCATTGTAATGGTAATCCTAAAGCCAAGCTGAAAGTAGGCCTTGTGTTTATTACATGATTAATAGGAAAACACAGACTGCTTGGAGATGCTGTTTCTTACCTACAAGACAGCAATGCTGTATTTCTGTAGTCATCTCTTCTGCTTTGATTTTTGGTATATGGATCTTCGCATACAACTTTTATTAAAGAATGCACCCGTACTCAGTGAGCTTCCGTGCTTTTATTGTGCAAATATCGCCCTCAGATGAAGCATCACAGACCACCATAAACACATGCAGAGGTACCTCAGACTAAGGTCAGGAGGGGAGGGAGGAGCAGGTCAGTAACAGGTCGATGTTTCCCCCCTTTTTCAAATAGATAATTCTCAAGCACAGCGAGATGAGTAATGTATTTCCTGAGCACGATCCACCTCCAACTCCAACTGCTCCTCACACAGGCTGACAACAATTCCCACTTGGGGAAACAGACTCCACATGGAATTACAACCACAGGCTCTTAAAGTTACTGTACAAGAGCGTTCATCCCTTCTCCTCTGCTCACAGCAATGCATGTTTCAACACCGGCTTGTGAACTCACAACTGTGTGGTAAATTACACGCAGCTCCACATGCACAAGCATTCTCACTTCTACCAAAGCAAGAAAAGCCAAGAAGCAAAACTGCACAGGCACAAAGAAAGTTTTAAGGAACCCAGAGGCATGCACAGCAGCCTATTTGGGCTTTGGGTTCTTGACCCTCCTCATTTTTCTCATATTGTTTCAAAAGCACTCCTCTAGCAAAATCAGCCCAACTGCAATGGAGGGAAAAACAAACAAACATAAGGCAACAGCAGGGACACGGCTTGATGCAATGCACTGGGTACTGGTATCGTGCCTTTCGAACTCCAAGCAAACAGCAGCAGTCTGTACAGCTGTTAGTGCCCCATCCCTTCCTTCTGGGCTCTGGGCCGTGACCAGCACCCTGCCTGCCCCGTATTGAAAAGTGAAATACTCAGGGGAAAAAGAAAGAAAGAAAGAAAGAAAGAAAGAAAGAGAAAGGAGGGGAAAAAAAAAAAAAAAAAACAACGCCAGAGTAACAAAACGCAGCCATTTTTCTACACGACAGAGAACAGCAGAAGCTGAAGCATCCAGTGCCGCTCGCTCGCAAGCCATCTCGAGCCACGCGCCGGCCCGAGCGGCGCCGCGTGGCGGCTCAGGGAAAGCCGCTCTGCTTGTAGCACCGCGCGGCCACCGCCTGGGAGACAGGAAGGTCCTCGGCCAGCGAGCCTGAGACGTGTGCCGGGCACAGAGCCGGACTTCCCAGGGAGGAATCCACGGTAAGACCTACCGTGCAAGCCGTACCGAGACGAGACCTACAGCACCACGAAGGCACGCTGTGCGCGGGCTGAAACTGCTCTGCACAAAGCCGAGGTCGGGGGAAGCCCGCACCGCACCCATCTATGGAGTCACACAGCGCAAAAGGCAGAGCCCAAAAACCGAGACCGGCAACGCCATTTGCACAGGAGCCGCCCGAGCTCGGCAGAATGCGAATCGAGGCCGCCTTACCTGAGCTCGGAGGCCGCTGCCGCGCCGCCCTCACACGACGACCATCACCGCGACCACGCTGCCGCCTCGCGGCGCCCCTCCCTCGCACGACGCCGTCGCGCTTCCCGCGCTCTGCTAACTCCGCCCTCGCGCCACCGCTCGCGGCGCGCCCGCCCCCGCAGCGCTGCCCGAAGGCCGCCAGGGGGCGCCCTCCGCCGCCTTTCGCTTTCGGTTCGTGGCCTCCCGCCCCGCGGGCGGACGGACGGGCCAGGTCTCCAGCGGACGGGACGGCGGGAGGGCGGCCCTGCGCCGCCATGGAGGAGCCGGCGGCCGAGGAGGAGGAAGGGGTGCTGAGGGACTACCTGGCCTACTACGCGGCCCGAGGGGCGGAGGGGCGGCTGGCGGCGTGCGACGAGGCCGCCCTGAAGGCGAGGGCGCGGCGGCTGCCGGAGCGGCGGGGCGCGCTGGACGTGCGCGGCGTGGCCGAGCGGTGCCGCAGGGCCCGCGGGCGGAGGGGCGGCAGCGTGCTGCGGGACCTGCTGAAGGCGCTGGAGGTCCTGGAGCTGCTGTGCGTCAACTTGCTGCTGTCCCCGTGGAGGAAGGAGATCAGGTCGCTGAAGGTAGGCGGCGCGGCCTGCCCCAGGCCTTTCCCCGGCGGCGTGGGGCGCGTCGGGCGGCGCGGGGCACCGGCGAGGCGTTTCGGCTTGGTGTCGATCCTCCGGAATGGCCCTGAGCCCGGGCATCACGCGTGACACCGCGGCCCGGAGCTCGGCCCCGGGAAGCTGGCGGCGCTGTGTCCAAAGGCAGAAGCCGCGCGAGGCGCGCGGTCTGACGGCCCCGCGCTGCTGCTGCGGTTGGCCGAGCTTACGGCATCTGTCAGCAGGAGGGTTATGGCAGAGCCGAAATCCACTTCGATTTTACAAACTGGGCCTCGTGCCTTCGGTAGCTCCGAAACAACACGTTAAACTTTTCTCTTTTTTCCCCGCTCTATTAGGCAGCAGCACTTTAGACAAGTCATGCTGGGAGGGCAGCTCGTGCGACAGGAGCACGTTTTGGCACTGTTGTTTCCCCCGAATAGCCTCAGCGCAGAAGGGTGCTTTCAAAGTGACCTAGTTCCAGGAAAGCAAAGTTAGAGCAGCACTCTGAATCACTGAGAAAGAAAATGATACGCTGCTGTCACCCGTTAAGAAATATGAGTAACAGCAAGTGCATCTCTTTAAAAGAAGTTAAACCTTGGTGATTGATTCCACAGGTCCTCTGTTGAAAAGGTCTTCTTGTTCTTCAGTGGAATGCAGGACTCACATCCAAACGTCTCTAGTTTGATTAAAGTGATTTGCCTTCTCTCTCCTCTTCTGCATATTGATGCTCTTGGCTGATACCTTACCAGTTTTAAACTGGCGTAACATTGTTATGCTACAGCAAGTGCTTGAGAGGCTGGCAAAATAACAGTTAGAAAGGCCTCGCTCAAACTCGCACCTCAAACTTCCAACAAAATAGTTTTTAAAAAGATTGAAGTAATTTTTAAAGTAGTTTTGTTCTTATGGAGTCTTTCATGCTTCCCCCATCCCCTCCCCCACCCTTCATCTGTTTTTCACTGTTCCGTTCTGTTGCAGACATTCACCGGTAATTTTGTCTACTATGTTCAATCTGTGCTCCCAGATGACATAGTAAAAACAGTACTGGAGAAAATAGGTTACATTGCAACAACGGCAACAGAGTTTTCACTTGTCAGAAAGAGAAACAATGAGGAAACAAAACAGACTGCCTTTGAAATATTTCTGGCAAGAATTGAGTGTGAAACCATCCTCGAAATGACAAATGAAGAAAAACATGGCAATTTGGAGAAGACTTTGCAGAAGAGTTCACAAATACACTGGCATCACAAAAATAAGGACAGAGAGAATCAGACGCCCCAGAGAGAAGACTGTGAAAATCTAGAAAATAAAGAAAATAGTGAAACGTCTTTGTGCCTTGCTACTCAACAGAAGTCTTCACCTAGTAGCAGTATGTCCTTTGAAACCACTCAGGATCTGAAGATCAAAGATGATGCTCCTCACTTAGCAGTGACTCAATCCACTAACAGGCTTCAGGAACACCAAAAGCAAGTCATTAACACAGTACACTTTCCGGGCAAATGCTCAGACAGCGAGGACTTCTTGATCAAATATAGTGACATTGTCATAAGACAAACACCTATTTTCAGTGAGAATCTTTCTCCAGAAGCTTTTGAAAAAAAGCCAAGAGCCAGTCTAAGTGAGGAATGTGTTTTGGCAGCCACTGCCCAGTCAACTGCAAACGAGCTCTGGTCAGTGCCGCTCTCGCCAGGAGCAAGCGGTCCACCAGCCTTTGCAATATTTGCTGACAGCACTTGTGAAAGTAAAAGCTCTTCAGAGTACGAAGCTCAACAAGTGGCTGAAGAGTCAATTGAAGCAAAAATTAATGATGCCATAAACTGTGTAGACCCAGACCCTGCAGACAAACCCAATGAGCTGAAGTCTCTGCCATACACGGATTTCACATCAGTCCAAAACTGCCCCGTCCCTAGGGAAGAGGAAGTCTGTGATCTGTCTTTAACCTTCACAAAACTACAAGGCCAGGACACTCAGGAAGATCTGATGTATCCAATAGAGGAAACTGGGCACCCTGAGTCACTATCATATGCAAGTGACAGGAATGTAAGGGAACTGAATCATTCCAAAATGAAATGCACATACTCAACTAATGCTGAAATGCAGAACAGAGCAGCTGCATTTATTAAGCCATCTCCAGATCTCTGCTGTACTACTGGGAGCTTGGAGGATCCCACTGGTGGCTCTGATGGCAAGGGACTATTAAGGGGTACTCTGAATGCACCTAGGGCTTCTGAGTGCTTCAGGCACATCAGAGAGCCTCCTAATCCCACCTACATTCCACCACGAAGTACTGATGTTCGGTCTCCAAGCAGAAGAAGCACCGGTGCACAGGGCAGAAGGAACCTTCTGCAGCCTGACAGTGAATCCAGTGAAGTAAAAGCAGAGAACTATAATTTAAAAGTAAGTGAAATCCAGGAGCCTTATGTTATTATTGACAAAACTGACCAAGGAATGTTGTGCTAGCACACTTGATTCTAGCAGTGCTTTATTTGTAATTTGCCTGGGGTTTCCCTGCCCTAGTTGTGGCCTTGATCATCTTTTCAGAGGAGATAATTAGCTTTGACAAAGCTAATCATAAACAAACAAAAACACCACCACTTTTGGACAGTAAACATTGGAGTAATTGAGAAAATTCTTAAACAGCTCTTTCCTCATGAAATCACTCCATTTAATTCATTAACCAGATTCCATCTGGCTCTAATTAATGCCCGAGGCCTATTTTTAGAATATGGCATGCTGTACAATGACAGGAACAGGTAAACATTTCTAAACTGGAAGGCTCTATAGTGTTACAAGTGCTGTGCTGGAGTGTAGTTCTGTTAGCTCGTGGCATTCCTGTGAAGCTGTATTCTGAGCTAATCTTTCTTCTATATTCAGTTTAAAGATAAGCTTAGAAAATCAGTATTCTCTAAATTAGTATAAATTGTCTATACCTGACTTTCATCCTCCTGAAATGTGTAGAAGAGTGGGCGGATTATACCAGAAAAGTCTCAGGAGCTAAAATGCTTTTTGAATAACTAATAGCTGGAGTTTGTGATCACCTGATTCCAGCACAGCAGGAGGAATGCAGCTTTGACTGAACAAACACCAAATGACAAGACTTCAGCTTTGGATGGTGTTAATGGGTGGGTGAAAAAAGTATTACAAATATGCATACAGAGACTAATATTTCTGCACTGGGTCTGGCTGGGATGAAGTTAACTTTTTTTAACAGAAGCTATGTGGTGGTGTGTTTAGGACTAGTTGCTAAAACTCTTGATAATGCACTTGCATTCTGGGCTGCTGCAGAACAGTGCTTGCACAGCATCAATGCCTTCTCTTCCTTACTCTGGCCCCCACTCCAATGATGGTGGGCAAGAACCTAGCAGCTGGAACAGCTGACTGGATTTAGCCAAAGATATTCATACCATATAGCATCATGCTCAGCAATAAAACTGGGGTAGCAGAAGTTTTTGGTTTGTGGTTTCTTTTTCGTCTACCTTTGCATCACTTGTTCTTTTCTTCCTCTCCTCCTCCTTTCACCAATTAAATCTCTATCTCAAACCAAATTCTTGCTTTTGCTCTTCTGGTTCTCCTGTTTTGCAGGAGGTTGAGCAAACCAGCTGTGTAGGTGCTTAGCTGCTCACTAAGTGAACTCACCACAACCTCCTTGTTCTTCTTTCAAGTATCTGTTCTTCCTAACCATTTCAGTTTTTATAAGATGTATTTTCCCCCCGTAGGGCAATTAAAATTGTGTTTTAAATAGTATGTTGTGTCAAATATTCAGGAAATCTAAAAACTGAAAAATCCCTTCTCATCACATATAAAGATTCCTCATAAGTATTTAGCTGACCACCAGTACTATACAGACCCATGTACCTAACATGCCATTTTTACCTTTGCTGTAGCCACAGGAGTATTTAACAGCAAGTTACACATGAAAAAACAATGCTAAAGTTGGTTTCCCAAGAAACTAAAGACTACCACTTGAAACACCCCATATAAACAGCCAAGCTGCACAGAACATACGGAACATAAAACAACTGTGTTCTGAGACTCTACTTTTTGTTAACGCTTTTGTTAATTGATTGAGGCAGAACCTCTGTGGTAGATTGGCCAGGACTGCTAAGTATGCATTCAGCCTGCATTTGGAGGGAGAGCTGCTATCACCTTAAAATGCTCACAGTTACTTTCAACTGATTTTCTTTCTGCTGCAAAGACACCTTTTCTTCCTGTATGAACAGTAGGCTTCTGAGGTCTTGTACTAGAAGGTACTTCACTTGCAAATTTCTGCTGTCTCTAGAGACAAGTTTTACAGTTAAGATACCTGTGAAAAGACTGGATTTGAAAACCAGCTGAAAGAAAAGACAAGTCATATTTAACATGCCTTTGCCATCAGCCCTCTGTACAACTGCTTCCACATGGGCAAGGTACCACGAATAGGGTTTAAAATCCTTGTAAATACAATTAGATCTGAGACAGAGAGGAGAACATAAATCCTGATGGTGCCCTCCTGTCCCTGTTGCTATTGACCAGTATGCCTCTCCTTGGCTAATTAACTTAAAGAGCAGCAACCACTTAAGCAGCACTGTTAGCCTGCAAGAGAGCTGCCTGAGCCTCAGAGGAGGGTGATTTGTTTGTGAAATGTGTGCCTATCCCCTTGTGAGCTGTCAACTTTAATTGTGCTACAGCTGGTGTTGATTGTCAATGAATTGAATGGGGATTTACTGACTGTTTTTATGTCTTTCCATCATAGAGACACAAGGCCAGCTCTGCTCCCAAATCTATATGCTATGCACAACCACTCTGAATGGCTCAGCTCTCCCAAGCTTCAAATTAGAGAAATTCTCTTTTGATCAGTGCAGAAACAGAGCTTAGGCAGCAGACCCAGAAGCTGGCTGACATTCAACTGCACCACCTCTCCCTGACGGGTCTGTTTAGATAGTCATTTTCCCTCCCCTTAACATTCCTGTCACACATACAAACTTGTCCTGTTAGAGCTAAGGTGCTTAACAAACACAGTTTGGCTTTAGAGTCAACTTTTTGTGGGTTTTTTTGTCTGTAAAGCTAGTAACGTAAACTAACTTTCAGCATGAAAACAAACAGCATGCAGGCACTGAATGAACAAAGATTTACAATTTGCTTCAAATTATAAATGAAGATCTTAAAATACAAGTTGTCTGCTGAGACATAAACAAAAGCATACCTAAGAGTCTGAGAAGGGCTTGCAAAGATAAATGTCTCTACTGTTCTGAGTGGTCTCCAAACAAGCAAAAGAAAACAAAACCAAAACCCACACAATTTCTAAAACATAACATTTATTTATTTAACTTTACTTGTATCTCAACACTGGGAAAGTTATAACCTGTAATCCACTGTCACCACTAAAGGCTCCATCCAGTGAAAGTTAATTGGCACTGTTCTCTTAAGTGAGACAGCTGATAAATCCTAAAGGTTTCCTTTTCACAGCATTAAACATTACAACTCCCTTCAGTAAGGACAGGAATGGAACAGAATACAGCAGCATGTGCAAAGCAGCCTACTTACAGTAAAAGTCCTAGCAGCTTAGTATTTATCGTGGGGAGATGTGAGGGAGAAATAAATCACTTATCAGACAGAGGGATCACCTCAAAGCCCCCTGACGTAAGAATAAATAAAATCAAGTAGCGTGGTAACAAGTAAAAACCAGAGCTCCTCTGCTGTGTCACTCTTGCCTGACCTTTTGTATGCATTCAGAGAGATCACTCTTACAGGAATACGTTTACACAACAGTTAACCCTTATAGTAATTTTTTGTGTTATTTTAGGATAAAAAAACAGATAAATGGCATCTGGACAAAACAGATTATATTTCTCTTATGTAGGAATTAATCTTAGAGCTACTTTTTTGTTCTGAGACTAAACTTTTTAAAAACTTGCAACTTATGCAACTCAATATACAAATAACTCAAATGCTGCAATTTACCAAATGCTGGGGGGGGAAAAAAAAAGTAAAAAACCATAATCCTCACCTGACTTTAACCTGCTTTACAAAAGCACAGTAATTACTTCAACCTCCATACTCTACAGGAAGGACTAGATACTCCAATTCCTCAGGCAGGACAGTAACTCACTACGAGTCATTATTTGCAAGAGCACGGAGAGCTTCAGGTCCAAACATTTTAATTGCAACTGATGGCAGAATACCCAGACTCTGCAGGAGGAAGAGCACTGAAAAAGAGATGTTGGATTAGTTCCTGCTGTTGGCAGTAGTTCTGCATGCTAATTACACCAGTGAACACAATTATCATCTTCTTAGGCTTAGGCTTCTTAGGACCTACAGTTTTGGAGATTCACCTCCAAAATGTTTAATCAAATAAGATATAAACATCCTCCCCATGCCAGAAGAGAGCGCACAGAAGGCCAGATGAAGAAAATGCAAATGTTTAACATTTTAATTTTTGCCAGTCTGTCTCTTCAAGTCAGTTTGCGTGCTGCTCACAGATGTTCCTGACCCTAGGACACCTCAATCAGAATGAAGTAAATACTGAAGTCTGGAGAGGATATCCATCCAGACCAGGTATGCAATACAGAAAAGAGATAATCAGTTCTCACACAGCTTGCAGTTTAGATGTGGAACTCACTGTGACAGGATATTATGTCTAAATGCTCAGAAAGTGACAAACTTCCAGAATAAAGTTCTGTCAGGGGCTGTTAAACACAAAGAGAAACCTATGGCTCAGGAAAACAGAAAAAACCTGGAAGAACTTAAAATGGCAAAGAATCACTTCTTGTTAAATGGTTCACACGCCGTTCCAAGCTCCCAAGGCAAGGGGAAACTGTACCACAAAGGCTAACTGAGTCACCACATTCATTTCTGTGAGGTACTAAATTACTTGCATTTTCTGTACAACAGAATTAAGCGGCTCTTCTCCAGACTGCCATGCTAGCATGCACAATACATACCATTGGCTTCTACAACTCATAATCAGATTGCAATTAACAACAATCTGCAGATGGCTGAAACTTTTACAGAGCTATTTCTAGAGAGCTTTTTTATCTTTTTTATTCTCTAAGAGACAAAAAGAGCTTTGAAAGTTTATCAGAATGATTCCAAAATGACCACTATATTCCTGTACAAATAAGCTTCTATAAGATAATTATTTAATACATAAAACCTTACTTTTAAGCTAGAATTCTAAACCTTTAGAACAGAACAGAACAGGTTCACAAGCTTCAGCATACTAATGTAGTACTCACTTGGAAATGCACCCTGCACTGATCATTCCTAAGCTGCACTGATTTAAAAAATAAATAAATAAAAATTCCCACTAGAAGAAATGAACTCCATCTCCTGACTTGGAAAAAGCTGCAGTCATTTCAGCTACAGCTATCTTCAGGTATATACAGCTTCCATAAAACCACAAAATAAAAGAAGTGTTCACATTTAAGTAACACATAAAAAATCCAAGTAACTGGAAATTATGGTCGATAAGTTACAGATGTTCAGGCAGTAAGCAGTGGAAGACAACAATAAGAGGGTAAAGCAGAAATAAAGAGCACATCAACACTTAAGCAAGTAACCACAAAAATTGAACACCCATTACGTTTCTCTATTTCCCAAACCACAGTAAAGTGATCAAGGTGTACACCCAAAGAACCACACACATGTTTCCTTATAATAAATAATAAAACAGATCAACCCAGATATTTTTAAGAATCCACAGCAGTTAAGAAATCAATTATTTTCAGTACTTATATCACCATTTGAAAGGAAATGCAGAGCTCCAAATCCACTGTAGTCCAAATCCACTAGTCCCCAATTCGGCTACGAGTTTCACCAAAACTAGAGAAATGGGCCCCTTTAAAAACCTGGCCTAGAAAAACCCTCAGAACCACTGTGCAATGTTACAAAGACTATTTGACTATTTCTTCACCACTGAATTCCATGGGACTATGCATAGCTACCTTCAGAACTACAGAACTATACTGTGATGTCATGTTTACATGTTTACAGTAGAAACTGAGGTCAGTGAAATGCACCGGTGCGGGCAGGATTACAGAAGGAACCCCTACACACTCTATTTTGACATAACCAGAGCAGTTTAACAAAGCTATTGAACACAGTGCACACCAGGACATCCCATCCTGTGCATGGAACTACTCCTTTACATTACAGAAACAGAATTGTCATGGGGGAGAAGAAAAAAGTTATTTCATAGGAAACAGCAGTGAAATGGGAATGAAAGACACATTTTAACAAAACATGCAGTAAAGTGGATGGAGAACCTAAAAACTTGGAATGGAATTGGGTCATATTCTGTTTATGACTTGTTCCTGAACATTTTGTAGTGAGAAATTCACAACATCCTACAAGGCGTAGTTCTAAAGCAGAAACCACTAAATTCAGAAGTATTACAAATATTCAGAATTGTCTCTGTATCAGACTTCATGAATTATTAAAAAAAAAAGTACAACCTAACAGACTTCTACAAATGCTGTTGCATATTACATGGGTTTAGTATTTGGTCCCGGTTCTCTTCATACTTTTCTATCATTTTCTGCATGTCGTGGTCAGCTCCAATGACCTTCAAAACAAAAGCATTAGCATTACAAATAATTAAATCATAATATATATTTGCTTCAGAGCAAAACAGACCTATCACTGAAGCCAAACTGAAATACTCCTAAATAAAGCTGTCCAGTTAGTTCTGTGTTTGGAATTTGGCGCTCACTGGAAAGCTGCGTGTCTGATCCTGCTACACAACACAAATGAACACCCCACAAATTCCACCTCAGAGTTAAAGACCAGACTTCCACTATACACTATGGACAGCTACAAATGTTTTTTTCTCGGGTTATTGATAAAGCAGCTTTATTTACTTTCATCACTAATTAACATTTTTAGTATTGAAAGAATACAATGCCCCACGTGCTTATCTGATTATAACTAAAATTGTACTCACAAGCACTGGGCAGGAAACTTTAAATAATGTATATTTAATGAGCCACTCTTCGTAGAGCTGATGAATAGCTTCTAAATATTCCTAAAAAAGAGGTATTCAATTACACACAACACCACCACAACAGTCGGCTATACTACACAGATTACTAAAACAATACTTGGCAAAGTCAGCACGCATGACAGATCATTTTTATACAGCAAATCAAAATTACATGGTGAGGTATTGGAACAGGCTGCCAGGGAGGTGGTGCAGTCACCATCCTGGAGGTTTTCAAAAACAGGGCAGATGTCACACTGAGTACATGGACTAAAGCAGTCACAGCATGGGCTGATGGTTGGACTAAATGATCTGAGAAGTCTTTCCAACTTCAATGAGCCTACAATTCTAAATACTGAAATATTAATTTGTGATGGAAACTATAACAGAGCACCTCATGTTGGAAACGGCCCCAATGATCACCGAGTCCAAATCCTCCAGACAGCTCCAGTAGATTTTTGAAATACACTCGGGATGTGATTTTAGTATTCAGGTTGGCATTGCTAGAGAGAGTGGTCAGGCACTGCAATGGCTGCCCAGGGAGGTGGTGCAGTCGCCGCCCCTGGCAGTGTTCAAGAGGCTCCTGGATGAGGAGCTGCAAGATGTGGTTTAGTGCTTGTGGGAATGAGCAGACAGTTGGACTGGATGATCTTATAGGTCGTTTCCAACCTTGTGATTCCATGATTCTATGATACTATGTTTTATGCTCACTGTTACCACACATTCTGAAGGAACTCTTTACCAGAGGAATGATTTTCTCTTCTTCTCTGCATCTTCCCTTTAATCTCTCATAACAAACTTCAGGAGATGTCTGCAGGTAAACTAAAAAAAAAAAAAAAAAAAAAAAAAACCAACTATGTAGCTGAATATAAGGATATGCTTTAAAAGCAAAGAGGAAACTTCACAAACTATGGAATTAAAGGATCCCAGTTTAGGCACCACCACTGAACCTCCTCCTTTGGTGTTACTGCTCATCAATCCTCAGAGTATCAGTGCATTCATGCTGTCTGATGCTAAGCGTCACAGCCACTATTGTAATGAATAATGTAATTATTCACAGCCAAAGAAAAAAGAAATTTTTCCCCTCACAATAAAGAAACCCACCCACAAATGTGCCCTTCCAGTTCCCATCCAAATTTTACCTATCAAATCAACTGAAACATCGGTGTTGTTCTGGATCCAGTCAAACCATTCAGACAGCACAACATAATCCACCTCTGGCATCTTCCCACTGAACAAACATAAAGATCACCATTCATTAAACAACAGACAAAGATCAGTTCTAAACTGACATGCACTGCTTTTATTTCTTTTAAAACTGACTAGAACTAGTCTGTGTTTATTCCAGCACATGGGAAATGAAGATACAACCAACATTAGAAATATTATAAAGCATTGTTTACACAAAGGCTCTTTTTTTTTCTTTACCTAAACATGCCTACTAGCATGAAGTTTCTATCATTAACAGTTAAAAAAAATATTTCCTACTACAGTTAAGAAATAGTTACTTGGTTACTATTTAAGTTACTATATTTTTTATATTTACTATACTATAGTTACTATATTTTTACTTATAGTTACTAAGAAAAAACTTCGCACTGACGTGTGCTATGATAACAAATGAGTGTCAAGTGTATTTATTGCTCAAGTTCTTTATGTCAGGATCATTTCAAATACATCTGAACTGCATGACACCAGAAAGGCTTGACTGACTAAGCAGCACTGACAATTCATTATAGAAACCAAAGTAAAGAGCAGTGAAAAAAAATAACAATGGAAATACATAATATTCCTTATTAAGAATCACATATTTTTACTGGTATTAGAGTCTTCACATATTGCCATATTCCTAAATACTCAAGTAGTATTAATTTCATATTATTTTGTCTTCAAAATAAATTACAGTAAGCCACACTCTTCTTTAAGTGTCTCTGAACAGAAATAGAGGGGAAGAAAAAGATCACAGAAGATTTAGAGAATCCTGATCTCCTCAGCTGAATGGTTGAAACCAATTGCAATATTTTAAATGGTGCTGAAGATTCCACAGATTTCTTAACCACTTCTCTCGGCAACATCTTTTTGATCACTTGCAAAACTGAATAAAGATAATCCAGGAAAATATTAACAATGTCAGTATGCAAGAAAGCAAAGCCAGAGTTCGTGCCACCTCCCTTCTTTAACTACCATCCAGCTGAATATCCTCCTTTCCAAAGCACCCAAGAAACTGGTTAACACACTTCTGATGTATCAACAAGTGTACAGTTCTGGATAACAGGTATCTAGGTAAACCAAATTCCAACTCTGCAACTTTTCCCTGAAAAACAGGAAGCTCAAAAGGAATTAGAAATAAGAGAAAGCTCCACCATTCCTACCCTAAAGGACACACCCTCAATAGTCCACTAATCTCCCCTGCAGACAACACAGCTTTGCCTTCCCTGTCTCACTCCCCTGGATAATCATGTGAGGATTCCTGCTCTGGCTCAAGGTTAATAAAGATACAAGTTTTGCTGTATCTTTGAAAACTGTGCTGACATTTCACTCCTACCAAGTAAAGGTTCTATTGCAAAATTTTGGTTTGGTATTTTGCAAAATCCTATTTTGGTTTGCTATTCATACCATTGGCTGACTTCTCCCCAGCTTTAACAAAACATAGCAAGTGCTTTCTGTCCAACATTGAAGAACACTAAAACCATTAAACTTCTTCAATGCCCTTCAAATTGTTGTTATGAAATTAATACACAGAGCTGGCACATGCATACTTAGCCTCTCAGTTTCTTGTGGGACAAAAGCTGTTAGTCTACAGTGAAAAAAACATCACTACCTATAAACAAGAAAGACATTCCATTTACATTTCCACTGTACACAGACAGGGTAAATAATGTCTCTTCCTGTTCCTGTGCCTCACATCCAACTGTCCCTCAGTAACTTTCAAACCAGTTCTGGAGCTGACCAGAAGGCTATGAAGCACAGATGCCACCTTGTGGCGTGCAGCTCTTCTCCCTGAAGACAAGGCTAAGAACTGGTTTTGTTCCTCAAGACCACTGAAAAAGCCATTAAAACAGTATTACACATTCTGAATACACAATCAGCATTATAAAAAAATGCCACTTCTGATTACTGCACTATTTTATTTAGTATGGGGTTGGTGAGACTAGGTAATAAGTGCTTTTTCTACCTGAGGTCACATAATTATTCCCCAGCACAAAATAACCTCAGTTAGACTCGACTGCCCAAGCACACTGCAGGGCTGGGAGGTGGGCCCACATCAGAAATTGACATTTACAGATCAACATTTCTCACTCTTTACTCAGAAGCTGACCAAAGAGTTTTCAGCCTGAGTTGATCCCATGAATCCCGACTCTAAGCCATAGCACATGAGGGCTGGAAGGCTTGTTGCTCGAGTTCTGGCTTGCAAAGCACAATAGCCCTGGATGCTAGGTTTGATAATACCCTCTAGTTCTCTCTTTCCTACAGTATTTTTCTTTATAACCCTACTTTTTTTCATCTATTCAGTACGTTTGCTTTGACTTATTCAGCTGGAGAGCAGATAAATGCAATAAATGGTTTTATAAATACTAAAACATTCTAAACTCATCAGCATTTCCAAAGAATGCTTGCATCTGGCCCACATCCTATGGGCTTCATTCTACCAGTGGACAGCATGCCCTCTACAAAGCTCTCTGCCACTCCAGCAAAGAGTTGACCAAAAGCACAGACTGCTCAGATGCAAACTACCAAAGAAATCATTGGTTGATTATTTCTTTTTTTGTGCAATTAAGCAAAGAAAATAAAGTAGAAAACAAAATACCATACCTCCTATACAAATTCTCTACAAAAATGTATCTTGCACTGTGAATTGATCTCTCCATCATTCTTACTGGGGAAATCTGCAAAATAAAACGACAGTCACCAATCAGTTTACATTTTTTCAGCATCCGTGTCTCTTAAAGCTGATCATGTGTGTACATTAGGAAATACACAACGTTATCAGTTCTTCCAAATGTTGAGATAAAACAATCACTGGGGAAGGTGAACACAAAAACAGTGTTAATAATCTCATGTGTGGTCACCACATTAAACATCTTTGTAGCTAAACTGTTATACACATGCAAGTTTTGAAGTAACCACAGCAGTACTCAATTCAGAAGATGAAGCTAACTAGGGGCACAAAATAAACAGCAATCAACTTACAGAGCAGCAGGAGCTGCTGCTACCTGAATGTTGCCATCTTCAGGTCTATTACCATGTCAACGGCGCAGACCTTACAGCAGAAAAATTACAGCATTTTAAGTTAAAAGAGAAATATACATATTTACCATTGGTTTGGTATGCTGCTCCAACATTGTAAGCTGTATGTAAGTTTGTAAGGTTATCCCCCATCTCGAAGCATCCTGGTACATTAAACCCTAGGGTTTGGGATGGAAGCAAGACAAAGGTTTTGTGGCTTCTGTTTTGTTCTGTGGTTTGCTTTTTTCTAAGGTTGAGCAGAAGAAAAAAAAAGAAAGGAAAAAAAAAGGAAGCTGTGTACTTCATAAATTGTATCAGAATTGCTAAAAAACACCAGAAAGCAGCCGTCAGTAAGTTCTGCATTAAGCAGTCATTAGCACTCCACAATGCACAGCTGAGAACTACAATCGTAGCCCTCGTGACACTGGGCAGGTAGCACAGCCACTGAAGACAACGGGAATTTGTTTCTCTGCATTTGGAACAGCCAGGACCAAGGCACAGTTCATTTAAAACAGTTCAAATATGTTTACCAATTAAAAATCACATCTGCTGACATCTTTCTGTGCAGGGACAGACTCAGCACACCCAGTACCAGAAATGCAGATACAGTTCTAGTAAGCACAGTCTGGGCCCCAGGAAAGGTCTTTTAACAAAGACCATTACAACTGCTTCTCAATTGCTCTCTACAACTTCTCAGAGTCTCCTCATTGATTCAGCTCCACCAGTATTGACAAGCATCAGTCTGTCCTACAGTGCAGAAGTACCATATAATTCTGATCTCCTTTTCTCCCTGTCCACAATCAGATCAAAAAACTAATCTGAAGACAGACTGCTGTGATTAGACATGACACAGCCCAGCGTGCTTCCCCTTTTCCTAATAACAAGGAAAATGTTACTATGCTAGCAGTAACATCATCCAATACGTGTTCAGGCACATGTGGGTTGGGCTATATCTGCAGTGCTGTATGTGACAGCAAATTCCATGCGAGTTTGAGCACAGATACACATCTGAGCTAACAAAATTATTTCAGCAATTGAGGTGATCACCCCAGCAGGGAAGGCTGACATCACAAACCATTCAAACTATTCAAACAAAGTGTTACCTGCAGATATGGTCAGAGCACTCAGATTTATCATCTCAGAGCACAGGTGAGACAGTGACCAACCTGCAAAGAATGGCTACAAAAAGTAGCAACTACCCAAAAGACAACAGAAGCTTTCAATGCCCAGAACGGAACCTTCATTATCTTTAGCAGCTGAACAATATAAATGGATCAGATATGCCTCTCATTATAGGAAAGACATTCCTCTCTTCTTGGAAATAGCTATCAGTCGATTTCAAAACAACAGCCACAATCAGGGCTTAGCTTTCTGTGAATCCTTTAGCAAACAACACTGCATAATCCAATACTAGGTCTGTACCTCCTCCTACAATTCTTTTGTACAGCCAGCCATGCTGCCTTAGCAGAGTTCCAGTGTTTGGAAAGCAGGCAGGCACGCTGTCCTTCAGCACTGAGCCATGTGAAGATCAATCAGCAATCTCTGCTGAAACCAAATTTTATTTAAAAATGTGTCCATTATATGCTTGTCTTAAAATAAAATTATTCTGCATCACAGAGCATTATTTCTTGCAGTATGAGATCATGCCCACACCTTTCTTAACAGTTTTAGTGACTCATAAGAAGTCCTCCTTAATGTATTTCTAAATAAACAATGACTGTAGGTGTTGAACTTGTTTCTGTTGCTTACCAGGATATTATGACCTCGAACATTCCTCCATTTACTCACTGGTTCTGTCAAGACCTTGGTAAAAAAATTATTCTGCATTAGACATACTTTAGATTTGAAATACCGGGCCTTACAACACAGCAACGACTTTTAATGAATACTTGCTCAGTAAGTGAGAGTATTCAGGACATGTACTGAAAAGCTCATTCCCCTTTAATTAACAGTAAGGAGCCCTGAAATGCAAAATGTAATGACGAACCGTTAAAAACTAGACAAGAATCATTTCCATACTATTACTTTCTTATCACCTAAACACGACTGTATTGATTACATAACCCTTATTTAATTTCACTTTTCAAGTCATTTATCAATACGATGTAAGAAGACTGGCTACGTGAGGATCCAGTGCACTTCATTTCAACATCCTGCTCATTAATCATGAATGAACAGACCATCAGAATGCCATTGAATTGCTTTTGTTTTATTTTCATTATCTAAAAAAAAAAAAAATCGATGCACCTCCAACAGTTCAATAATGTTTAAAATCAATCAGAAAAGCTTCTATCTACCACAAAAGCCCCATCTGGTTTGGTCTAAAACTCCTGCAGCAACATCCCATCAGGTCAGTTAACTGGGTTTTTAAAATAAAGCTGCACTAAACGCAAATCATCATTTGCTATCCTTTGGGTTAGTAATTTTTTATTCCAAAAGGATCATTAGCAAATAACATCTGCAAACCCAGCATTTCTACGTGGAATTGTAAGAACTTTTATCAAACTTGTTCCCAGGTCCACTAAAAGAATTATTATCATCTGAAGCACACAACAGCAACTGTTCACCGAGGCTCAATCCCTGTGTTGTTTAAAACATATCAATCCTGCCCTACCCCTAATCTTGTTTTAAGGAATATGAAATCAAATACCATGATGGTCTAAGCAATTATTAGGAACAATTACAGCAGTTTGGGTATTTTTAATCTATTTGCAGATGTTATTGATACTTCAGCATCAAGTACCATATTACACATGATCTACAAATCTCTTCCACAGTTTGGCTACTAATAGCCAGGGGAGGCAGCGCACAGCTAAGCACGTGCAGCAGCAGTACCAGCACAGGCACACAGCCTGCTGCCCCGGCTCAGTACCTGAGAAAGGACAACAGCTCTAAGTCAGCTGTGCTTTTGCCACAGCAAGCAGCCACTGCATGACGTACATAAAGAACATAAACCCAGTACCTCGATGCTGGTAGTCTGCGCAAAATAATCCAGGCACGTTGTCTTTCCGCTTGCAATATTCCCCTCGATGCATATCTGACAAAAACCAAGAACACTGCTTTTAAAAACTGTGCTACTGCAAAGAAGTGAGCAGCGCACGTAAACGCGGCAGGCAGGCGGGGTCATGGCTGACACCGCTCATATCGCTGACACCGCTCCGAAACGGCCATCGGCAGCGCCTGCGAGAGCCCAGATGGGGCCTCACACGCGCTTCTGAACGAGACGCAAATACTTACAACGGTCTTTTTATCATCTTCTTTTATCAGACGCTTATCTAAAATGGGGAAAAAAGAAAAAGCGGGAGTTACAACCAGGAAAGAGATCTTCGTACCGTATCTGTTCTGTGCCTCTTAACGCGAGCTCCACACCCCCCCC